GGGGGGGGCAAGAAGAAAAGAAAACAAATTATGATGTCCTAGAAACTCTCATAGAGTCAAGTGGAAGTGAAGAAATAAAGGATGAAAAGATAAAAAGATATATATGCCAGAATACAGACATGACGATAATCTTTCTTTGTCTGTGAATGTGGGTGTGTATGCAAAGACCTAGACATGGGCAAGAAAAGAATATGTTTGAACAGGTTTATCTGAACAAGCAGAGGAGCGCAGAAACCAGACTGGAAAAACATGACATGAAATCCACAAATGCACGACACAACAACATGAAATCCACAAATGCACGACACAACAACATCACTTTGTTTACCCCTTGATAGACGAGCCACATAAAAAATCAACCCGTTACATTTCACCGAAAAACAACACACAATTTATCATTCACAAATTGTAAGCGTAAGAATTTGGTACATTGTACATATTATAGCATCAACAAAGGGGTAATAATATCAGGAATCAGCATCTTCCATTCTGTCACAAGTGTATGCCCTGATTGGAGAAAAATGCAATGACAAAAAGTATAAAAATAAAATCAAAATGACAACAATTACTTTTGAGTTCTACCCACTCATGAACCACCTGTATACAAATAAAGATTTTCTCCATTAAAAAAAAAAATGACACTGTACATTAAACCAAGCTGAAAGACATGAACCAGCCCTTTTGCAATATATAATCTATATAATGCAATACTTTGGCACTACCTCCACAAATTGACCCAATCCACCCAGCCCAGCCCACCTCAGCGTTTTCACCATTGTCACAAGAGTAGACGATGCCCATGTGGGTCAACAGTCAACACAGACCTCACACTCTGGGAACAACCTTTTCTCTATCTTGCTCTCTCTCTCTCCCTCCCTACTAACTCGATCTTTCCATCCTCTCTCTCTGTTTCCCTCACTCTCTCTCTCATCCTCTCTCTGTTTCCCTCATTCTCTCTCTGTTTCTCCCTCATTCTCTCTGTGTGAAAATAATAATGTGGTTTATAAACAAGTCAGTTTGATTTTTTTTTTTCATTTTTCTTCGCAGACACGGCACTTGGTCCCTTTCATCCTGCAGATATGACAAATTCTCAGGGATGCTCTTGAAGCAAAAAACTTGTACACATGATAGCAATGGTCACCTATCCACTTAACCAAACTTGAACACTCTCTACCCTACTTTCTACACCATTAGGCTTTTATGGAGAGAGCACAAAACCTTCATAACAGGGTCTCTGACCACTGACGGTATCCTGAGTTTCAGTCTTTACAAAAAGGCGTCCGCCATACATAAAAGAGGAGAAAATGAATGTGAGACCAAAAAAAAAAAAGGTTTTCACTGTTTAAACAGGTACACTGTTCCAAACGTCAAAGTGGCTAATTCTTAAAACAAATATGGCATGTACCAAAAAAAAACAGAAAACTCAATATTCAATTCTGGTCAACTGCTATTATTTCGTAGACCAACAACCACAGCCAGAGGTCAACTGAAACCAATAGACAGTGTTTAGAAAAGCGCTCTGACTGCCAGAAATATTCAGCATTACTCATATCTAATACAATGTCATATCTCTTCAAAATAGAATAATATCTCTTCCTAACATCTTCAAGCATTATTTATTCCTAATACTAAAATACAATGTCATATCCCCACAAATAAGTCTCGAACAATATATCTTCCTAACATCTTCAAGCATTATTTATTCCTAATACAATGTATCCCCACAAACGAGTCTCGAACAATATATCTTATTCTACCACCGTGCCCTCCAACTGCAGTGAAACTAATTCTCCCACAAAAAGCAAGCTCTAAAGAAGTCAGCACCAGCACAGTCCACCAGTCCAGGCTCAGAAGTAACGCGTCATTTGCTGCCTTGACAATGATAACTACAAGTTGTAACAACTGAGGTATGTGAACGGTGTCTAACAAATAAGTGTAATGAAACAAAACAAGTCACATTCATGAAATGATAGCAAGACCCTCAAGAGTAAGAGTTGTTCCAGAAACTGACCCATCAAATCATTAAGTCAGCTGACAAGACGTCCTTAGCAAAGAGCTCAAACTACACACAGCTGCACAAACTCATTTTCCTCACTTTTTTTTTGCAAAACGCAGGAAGAACATGTCATTTTCAAAAAAAATTTATCACAATACGGGGGGCACTTTTGTTAGCTCAATGTCTACACACAAGAACAGTGAGTTTTGGAAGTTTTTCCCAAGTCTGAGCATTGGCACAAATTGATCCAAGTCATTACGGCAAGTTTTTGTTCGGAAGCTCCACATGCATCAACGGCTGGATGCAAGACTCCAAAAAAAACGTGGTGTTTGTCGGAGTCTTGCACCCAGCCATCTACCCGCAACTAAAACACATATTTCTTCACTTCCAGTGAGAGACTGTCTCTTTTTAAAATCTCTGACAGTGATAACAATTATCATTGTTAACATTATTTGATCCTGCTCCAAGAATTATTAAAATTTTCTAGCTGTTTTACCTGTTCTTGAGTTGCAAGGAATTATAACAGAGATTCAAAATTCACAAACAATTTTTGGTAGCAATCTAAATAATGTACAAGCTCGGCTAGCAGCTGTACATCCAATATAATGAAAATAACAACATGAAAAAGGTAATGGTCAGAGCAAGTACAGAAGCCAAGGTCTGCAAACAGGCCACTCTTTTACCTATTTCCTTTCTCTCTGAGATTCTTGACAAGGAAATCATCTGGTGCAATAAGTACTGGACAAGTCGCTCACCAATGCAGAAAACACAAAACATCGCCCCCAATTTCTAGCATGCTGAGCAGGAAACAACCCAAAATACATCAGCTTAGGTAATGGGACATCTCACTGGGAGAAGGAAAATTTTTTTTCAAAACAAGAACCCACCACCCCGAAAAAAACCAAACTCTTCACATATCAGTGAACAAATCCCTGGGTGTTCACCTCTGCACACATGGGTCAGTGAAGGGAGAATCTTTTAATTTTCATTAATTATTACTATTACGTGTAAAATACTGCTGGGTAATTACTGCAAGAACACAGGACTTGAACATTGCCTTCTTCAGGCCATGATTCCAACAGGTCATGTTTCCCTCAGTGTGCTCAAGTCTTAACAAATTTTACAACACCAACAGGAGCTAAACCGGAAGGACAGATCTAGACAAGCACACAGAGGCGATCCCCGCACCTTGGATAAATTTTCCCTTAATTTCCCAAAATAGAACATCTCAAAACTACTGTTCTCATGTGACATAAAAGGTGACAAAACTAACTAATTAGCAAAACTTGACACTCATTTTGAGAGAGCCACACTCGGTCAGGCTCATGCTCCATACTTAATGTTACTAACTTTGAAAATACAAAAATGCAAGCCACCACCCCCCTCCCACACACCCTTGAATACTGTTTTCACCTTTTCTCCAGACACAGCCAGAGCTATACCCCAAAAAGCCCCAAGCAAGACTTTCACTGTGCACAAAGTTGTATTCCAGACTTACACTCCAACATGGCATCAACACAGCAGAATACAAAGTCAGACACAAGACATAGAATGTGAACGGTTGTGAAACCCCAGGACCAGTGTGGTTTGACCGTTTGTCTCCTGGGGACCCCTGAACCACCGTAGGCCTATCCACGTGCCTCACGACGAGCCGCTGCTCTTGAAGGTGGTGGTGGAGAGAGACTGAGCAAATCCAGGCAGAGACATGGGGCTACACACGACAGGGACACCCGCAGTGCTGCCGGTCAGCTGGGACATGTTCCTGGCTGCATCACCGAGGCTACCCTGTCGACCGACCACGCCCCGCAGCTCCCCCTGTCCAGCAGGGGAGGCAAACTTGCCTAGAATCTGACCACGGGCTGCACCAGCCACAAAGGGTAGGCCATTCTGTAGGTTGAGGCCAGCGGCCAGAGGGCTGGGGGAAGAGGTCCACTGTGTGCGTGGGGAGGGGGAGGAGGAGGTGGAGGCCAGGACTGAGGGGAGATCCGGGGGGACTGAGCTGGAGGACTGCAAAGAGGATGATGATAAAGAGAGCGATGATGTGATCATAGGAGGGTGATGTTTCTGACCCACACCCACCAAATGCGAGGAAGCCGGGGAGAGGGACAAGGAAGCGTCTAATGACGGTGACTGTCGGTGCTTTGGAGAATCTGATACCACGGTTATTGATGATGGTGAGGATGACAATGGGGGTGATAATGATGATGTTGTCGATGACGGCTGTGGCGGAGGTGGGGGAGGAGGGAGCAGTGATGGAGACGAGGGCAAGGAGACGGGGGAGGGGAAGGTATCGGGAAGGGTGTGTCTGACAGTTGTGGGTACAGACTCGAGCGGGGACGGGTGCCTCACGGTCACAGATATAGATTCAGTGGCCATGTTGGTTCCACCACTAAGCGAGTCACTCAGAAGGCTGTGACGCATGGTGGTAGTCCTGGTGGTGGACGTGGGGGATGATGTCGAGCCGGTAGGGGGAAACGAAGCTGATAGTGGCAGAGGGGAGAGAGATTTGGCTGAGTTGACCGAATGACGGACCGTGGTGACGGCCGCTGGGCCTGCACAAGGAACTGTCTGGGGCCCAGCCATCGTGTTGATTGCAGTCTTTGACCCCTGGCTGTCCGGAAGACTTAGTCGAGATTTTGCAGCATCAGATATCAAGGTGGTGCTAGAGGACGGAAGTTTGAGTCGTGGGCTTCCACCTGTGGGCTGAGGGGGCACAGGTTTCTGCTTGACCTGAGAGTTGCTCTTCACGCTGTCAGGCCGACGAAGGGACTGTACTCCAGGCAAAGTCAATCGTGGTTGCACGGGGAGTCGTGGTCCCCCTGTGACCTTGACACCAGCAGGCAGAGAGGATGGAGAAGAGTTTTCCTGCAATCGGAGACCAGAGTTGGAGTCCGACCCAATAGTGGATGTTTTATTTCCTACCGAGGCTTGCAGCATGTTCTTCACACTGTTGGAATGTTGTTGCTGCTGTAGCTGATGATGATGTTGATGTTGTAGTTGTTGTTTCTGCTGCTGCTGCTGTTGTTGTTGTTGTTTCTGTAGCTGTTGCTTTTGTTGTTTCTGTTGCTGTTGTTTCTGCTGCTGCTGCAGTTTCTGCTGTTGTTGTTGTAGTTTCTGTTGCTGCTGTTGTTGGAAATGCTGTAGTTGCTGAAGCTGTTGTTGTTGCTGCTGCTGCTGTTGAGCTGACTGTGGTTGTTGTTGCTGTTGTTGCAATGATATCACAGACGACTGTTTTGATGAATTGTTCAGTTTCGCTTTCTTGGCATGAGACGGTGATGATAAAGATGATGATGATGATGGGGATGACAACGAAGACGGAGGGGCAGAAAACGACAAAGACGCAGACGGCTGTGAAGCAAACGTGGCGGTGAAATTCGGTTGCAAACCTCCCACAAACGACAATGGCCTAGCGGTGCTCTGAGAATTCATTGTGGGCAGAGTCGACGTCGAGGTAAATCCAACAAGGGTAGGGACAGAGGTCACCTGATCCGACCCCAGTTTCTCCGACTCGCCAACTCCTCTGGGAACTGGATGGGGAGAGCCCGACACATTCCCCATGCTCTGAGAAGTCTGATAGCCCGGGAGAGTAGAGGCCGCCATATACATGTTCTGCTGCAGGGAGCCAGGCGTCGAAGGAGCTGGCTGAGCCTCCGTAGGCAAATGTCTGATCACAGTCTTGGCAGTGCTGTTGATGAACGAGTCAAAGCCCAGCTGAGGAGCTATATGGTTGAGGTTCAATCCCCCACCAGCCTGTTTGGCAGCCAACTGGGAGCGAGTCAGACTCTCAATCTGTCCGTAGACCGTGTTGAGATCCGCCGTAAGGACAGGGGGAGGGGGAACAGAGGAAGAAGAGGACGCCGTGCTCTGAACCTGCTGCTGCAACTGTTGTTGTTGTTGTTGTTGTTGTTGTTGTTGTTGTTGTTGTTGTTGTTGTTGTTGTTGTTGTTGTTGTTGATGTTGTTGCTGCTGAAGAAGTTGCTGATGTTGCTGTTGATGATGCACGACATTAATTTTCTGCCCATCCAGACTGAACCCAGAGGTAGGAACAGACCCTGCAATTGTGGCAGCCGTGTGAGGGTGGGGAGAGGGAAGTGGCAATCTCTGCTGCTGCTGTTGCATACCGCTGGGCGTACCTCCAACCCTCATCCCCAAAGTCTCACCGCTGAGTCTCAAATTCTGCGTGCCCACTCCAGCCGTGGCAGTGGTGGTGATGGTGGTCATCGGCTGGTCAGCCACTCCCCCGATGTCCAGTCCCACCATCCCGCTTCCACTGCCCACCAGCTGTGGGTTCATCCCGGAGATGTCCATGCCCGAGCTGCCTCCCAGGCCAGACAGTAGTCGGGGGTCCACCATCTGCAAAGTCAAAGGTAATAGGTCAGCAGACAAACTTGAGGAAACATCTCAATAAATATCAGCACTCACACCCCAATCAACACTTCCTATCATTAACTCAAACTCACAAACTCACCCTTGGTAGCCATCATTATGCAGGTCTCCCTTTCACTCACTCTCACTCACATCTTGCGTTCATGGGCACAACACAACAGTCAGCATCTGTATTTCCTATCCAATGTTTCTAAGTATGACACCTGCGTCCCCTAAACTGACAGAAAGGAGCATCTTCAAACATGCGTTTTCTACACCGGCTGAAAGAAACATCTTTCGCACCTGCAATTATCGTCACTGACAGAAAGGTGCATTGTACACATCTGCATTCCCGAAACTGACAGAAAGAAGCATAAAACAAATATGTGTTCCCTAAACTGACAGAAAGGAGTATCGTTCATATCTGCATTCTCAAAACCGTCAGAAAGGAGTGTTGTACAAATCTGCGTTCCCTAAACTGACAGAAAAGAACTCATTGTACCCACCTGCGTTCCCTGAGCAATAAGACCTGCGTTCTGAGCCAGCTCTGCATCATTGTGCAGGTTCTGGGCCAGCACCAGAGCCAGCTCCATGGACTCCTCCTCTGACATGGTACCCGTCAGCAACTTTTCCAGTGTTGCTTTCGTAGAAGATGTCAGATCTCCCGCGAGGTGGTCAGAGTCTGCCTCTGGCTCCGGTTCTCCATTTTTACCTGATGGAGGAAAAGTGGGGGATGAGAGTGGCAAGTTTCTCTCTTTCAGCTGAGAGAGTTATCGTAAATATCTGTGACTTATAGGTCTACAAGACAAGACGATACAAAGGCGAGTATGAATCATTAGCCAGGGAATTTTGGTAACCCTATGCTATCGCACTTTTAACAGATCAAGTTGATAATGATTGAGGAGCAAGTACGGAACCGTCAGAAAATATGGATTTCCGTAATAATACGGATTTAAGGAAAGCATTTTTCTTGATGTTTATCAGACTCAGTTGATACAAATTAAGCTAGCTGAAAAGGTTTGTCGTCAATATGCAGGTCAGAGAAATGAATAGTAGGGAGTCAAACTCTCGGCAACATTAGACAGTCACAAGACAGCAGAACTCACCAAAAAGGTCCAGAGCGTCAAAAGGCATCTTGTTGACCACTTCCTGGAAGTCCGACTCCTCCAGCAGACGTGAGGCCTGCTCCAGGGGAAGCTCAAATGGCTTGTCAAAATCTGGGGAACACAACAGAGAACTGGATAGAATCGTCTTTCTTCTTGACCTCAGCTCAGAGTCTCCTTGCCACATTCAGGAATACAGAGCTTTCTGCAGGTAGCCTCAACATGGCCCACTTATCTAAAGAAAGCAGAAAAAGATTGCTTAAAGAAAACAACCCACGGGAAGATGCATTCTCATATCTACTCTTCAGGCAAACTTTTGTTGACTGATTCAATTAGGTACAATGCCTGTTTCAAACTGACTGACCTAGAGCAAAACATCAATGGTCAACTCGAAGGTTACAGAGGGGTTGTAGCTTTGTCTTTCAAGAACACGTAAACAGCATGCTGTGATATTCTTCATGCCCAAAGACATGGAAGGTCACACACTTCACCATAACCTGACAAATTATGAGAAATATGTCAATTGTGCCAGACAGAGAATGCCCTTTTTTTTTCATTGTCCGGCCTATGAAAACCTAAGTAGGGCAAACCGAGCCTAAAGAAAAGGTGCCAAACTCCAGCAAGGAGAAGACAAACTGTATCAAGACAAACTGTATCAAGACAAACTGTATCAAGAGAAACTGTATCAAGACAAACTGTATCAAGACAAACTGTATCAAGACAAACTGTATCAAGACAAACTGTATCAAGACAAACTGTATCAAGACAAACTGTATCAAGACAAACTGTATCAAGACAAACTGTATCAAGACAAACTGTATCAAAGTGTCACCTGGTGAGAGGGTCTCAGCCAGCTCCAAAGCCTGGTCCAGTGTCTTGGTGCCGCCCGTGTCCTTCGCCTTGGGCACAAACTGACCACCACTGGAGGTAGCGGGCAGAACCACAGGAGGGCTGGCCTCCTGCTGAGCAGCACTGCTGCTGCTGCTGCTGCTGACCTTCACTGGGGTCTCCTCCACCGCCTTGACCACTGCCTCAGTCTCAGGTTCCAGTTCTTCCTCCGGCTTGCTGCTGTCCAGTCCAGTCACGTCCACATCTGACAGGTCTACAAGGAATACACCAGGGTATTTGATGAGTATTTCTTTATCATTACAATCTCAATTTAGAGGGATTATTGTATCAAACTTTTGCTCTGGAAAAATGTAGTATTTCAAAATAAATTCTTTAAAATGTTATTATTACAGCTTCAATTTTCGAAGACTCTATCACAATCAGAAATGTTAAACTTGGAAGTATTTTTTCCAACTTTAGTTTGGAGGATATTTTGATTACAATTTCAATTTTGGAGGATTTCATAAAATTCACAACTTCAGCTTTGGAGGGGGAAGGGGGGTGGGGTGAAAGGAGGAGTGGAGGGAAGGGGGAAGAGGAAGAAATGGAGAGGGAGATGGGGTGGGGAGGAAGAATGTGAAAGAAAGAGAGCTCGGCACACTGATCAATGAGAAAAAGAAAAGGAAAAAGAAGAGGGGGGAAAAAAGAACAGAAAGAGCAATTATCAGAATGAAGAGGCACTGTCTACAAATGCCAATAAGTGGAGCAGAGCCGTGGAGAAGAGCCACACAGCAGATCAAGCAGAGCCCCCCAGACCAGCACAACACTGAACAGACAACACAACTCACTGCTCGAGTCAGGCCCTCCGGACTCCGGAGCAGGGACAGGCTTCTGCGGTGTGCGAGAGTAGCGCCCTTTCTTCTTTTTCTTGCCTTTCCTTGGTGGACGAGTGAGGGCTGGTGGCTTGCTCTTCTTGCGTGGCCGTTTGCGGTTCTCAGCCTCTAACTGTCGCTGGTAATTGTCCTGAAATTAAACCGAGAAGTTCCATACTAAAGCAAAGTAAACTTTTAACTATCCCATTAAGACTAGTCAAATTTGTGTCCATCTGAATGCTCCTAAAATAACGGAACAAAGTCAGAAACACAAAAATAATTAACAGCTTTTCCAATAGCATTTTTAAACATTTTACACAACGAATAACTCACATGACAAAGTACTGTAGCAAAAGAGCATGATGGGTGAGAGATGCTAAACCAACAATATCCATCACCAATCCAGAACAGAAAATGTGGTGAAGCACTTTACGTTTCAAGAACACAGCCCCACAAGACAAAATCTTGTCTGAACTTGGTATTCATCTTTTAATTACAAAACTTCAAACAATAAAGTCTTTTGAAATAACTCATCTAGCATCGTCTTAATCCAACAACAATCAAAACAGGACAAAAAATGTTTCAGAAAAGTATATATCTTTCTATATTCACTAACTGAGGCCTTTTTCAATATAAAGACAAGCAAATAATATACCCAGTTTATTGAGCTCCATTCATAAAGAGCCTCTCCAGATTTGTACAAAGATATGTCAGACATTTAACTGGCAAGCGAGCAATTTTAGACAACACAGATGGCAGACCCAGGGGATACAGGAGTGCCAGACACGAGAGTCTACTCACAGCCTTGGCAGCGTGGACGGGGCACAGGGGCAGCTCATGGCGGATGTCGAAGACTGGCATACAGCACTGGGTGTTGTCCGCAAACTTGGCAGTGCAGTAGTCAAAGAGCTGCTGGTCGATGTTGTACATGATGTCTAGTGCATGTGGTTAAAGAATTGGAACAAACACAGAGGTCATCGCGGGTAAAATATCCAAGGTACTGGGCCCAAACTATCCTGGCGCTGCAACTTTATAAGAGAACAAAAAAAAACCAAAAAATCCTACTAATTGCCTGCAATATCACTTTTCAAGCAGCATAGCTTTTCTGAAATATTTTACTAAAACACTGAAGTACTGAACTCCTAGCAACGCAATTTTACACATTTTAGAAAGCAGGCTGCTTTGACTCCACCAATCAAGGCATACCCTGTATATTAGGGAAAAACTTCCCCATAGAAAGGCAGAGCTACAGGAATTCAGGTAAAAATATTTCCTAAAATTTAAAAAATAGAAAATACATTAGAATAACTTTCCAATGAGGTACAAATGCGTGCCTTTTGTAAGCAGTGCAAAACAGTTAACCATAAAAACTAAACAGATGTTTACCTGTAAGCAGGGTTTCAAGAGCCTAGCTAATTCACCACAGAAGCCTGTCTATAATCTTTATTAAGAAGTTACAATGTACAAAATAATTAACAATAAACATGTAAAAAAGGTTGTTCCTGCATACGATCCCGAAATCGGGGATAGCCTTATTAGTGAGACAACTTCCAGGGCCTTCAGCATTTTGTGGTAGGGTGGCCAGTCCTTTCCTCTCCGCTTTTACTTCCCCAACTTGAAGTCAGAGACCCATTACTGCTAATAAACATGTACATTAACAAAATTATTCACAGTACTGTACATTAGGCTTCCAAACAACGACCTTTCCCTCCAGTGGAAGTAGAAAAATGACATTGTGATAATAAAGTAAAGGATACGTCTCAAGCAATGGTTGGTGTAAGGCAGGCAGGGGTTCTTACACTGTCCTTCCTCCCTGTTCTTTTGACAGCACTGCTTCTGATGCTTCTTCAGCTTCTTCAACCTGATAGGGAGGGCAAGTACAGAAACAGTAGAAAAAATTATCTTAACAAACTTAAACACATCTCTTAACCAAAAACAAACAACAAAATTCCCACTAAAACTAGAAATAAGATGAGATATAATGAACCAAGAATAACCAGCTAAAAAGTGAATCTTTAAAAATAAAAAAGATAAGCTTTGCAATCCCACCCAAGAAAATCAGCATGTGGACAACACTCACCGCCTCTTCGACTTCTTCACATGATGGATTTGCCACAGCGCCCGAACCGCACAGGCCGCACTGTCGCGCACACAGCGGATGAGAGCAAGTGTGGCCTGGTTGTTACTTTTGCGTAACGCCACGTTACTCTTGGAGGCTTTCCGGGCCTGACACCACTGTCGCCGAGTGCGGGTCTTCAGCAGGGACACTTTGGTGGGTCTCATGCCCATCGGGACATCATTCTCCATTCTGAACAGGACAAAATTAATTTTAAGTCTTTGAGGCCCAAATTACGAGACTAATACACCTATAATTATAACTTGACAGTAAGGTAAGTTGTATTTCAAATGATGAAAGAAGAATATAAAATAATAACTATTGAGCTTTTGCCAAAAGGTGGGGGTGTTTGCATGAGGACTTTTTAAATCAACCACTACTCATGGTAAAATATGTTTTCTTCTGAAAACTTTATGCATATATGGCAAGGAAATAAGTTCGTCAAGCTGCATGAGCAAGTAGATTGATGTGTGCATCTTATATCTCTTCATAGAAAGATGATAGTACTAAAAATAGGGCATTTTTTACTCATCCTGAGCGCACACGTAATTGTA